TGCGAAGATTGGAGCAATAGTTGAAAAAGCGTTGAAATTACACGTTTGCGTAAAACTTGTATACTACTTGTATAATTTTTCCCGTCTATTAAAAGTTTTCTAGTTTTGAATTATCATTTTAAATCCTCCTATATTAGCTGGTAGTTACATTTGCGGAAACTTATTTTAATTTCCGTAAAACATTATTGAAAAATATTTATTAAAATTTATTTATTTATTAGCTCTACGTTTAAATATTGGTATACCAGGTGAATAAAAAGTATGGAAGTAAACGTTTTTTGCTTAAACTATTTATTTTTTGACAAAACTAATTGATGAATGATAAAGTACTATAAAATGTGAGGTTTTATCAAGAATAAATTTTTTCGAATTTTTCTTGTTTTTGAATTCTACATTTTTTTTATTTTTTTAAATGGCAACCCACAATAAAACTATTTTTCTTATGAAGATTATGATCTAGGGATTACAACTATCTACTTTATAGTTCATTAATTTTTTTTACATAAATTGCAATTTTGACAAAAAAAACTCAAAAACAAAACAAAATTTCGTTGTCAAAATACGATCACATTTTTTATATTACATTAATTTATATTAATTATTATTTTCTGGAGGCAAATGATTTAAAAAAACCGTTTGGTTCTATATTTTATATTTACCCTGTATAGTGCCTTCATAAATAATGGAATAATAAAGAGCCACGTGAGCCATTACAGAAAATTTTTATTGGTTATTCCCGAGCGTATTTCGGTGACGTGTTTCCTAATCATTTATGATTAGTATTACAAGAATTAACTACATAAAGTTTTTAATTTCATACATTAAAAAAACAGAGATAATATCATCATTAATTAGGTTTTCGTCAGAGTTTTATACCAGGTGAAGTATTAATTGGAACCAAAGGTTTTTTGCTTCAACTATTTCTTTTATTGAATAAACAAATTGATGAATGATAAAGTACTATGAAAATGTGACGTTTTATCAAAAATAAAATTTTTGGACATTTTGTTTTCCTGAATTCTGAAAAAAAAAATTTTTTTCACAAGGCAACACACTATAAAGTCATTTTTTTTATAAAGGTTTTTATCTAACGATTGCAACTATCTATATTTTATTCTATTATTATTATTATCAGAAACAATTTACACTTGAGTGCAAGAAAAACGCAAATTGATTTTTTTTTATAATGTAATTTGGCCTGTTAATCAATGTCAGTTTTTTGACGTTGTCTTTCTCATAATTCACAATCTCATAATTGTCAGGCATCTTCCAAACTGCTATCAAGTTTTTCCATTTCGTTTTTAACACTGACTATAACACTGCACTGGCAAGACCACCAAATAAGACATTTCATTTAATAGTTTTAAAACCCTTTTGGGAACATCCTTTTTCACACTACGTAAATCTCTGAAAAATTTGACAATTTTGTTTTTGACAATTTGCGTGTTTTTTTTTTTTTGATATAATAGGTACATAAAGGTTATGATATGTATTGACATTTAAATGAACTAGAATTTAGTAGAATCATATTCAAAATAATTTAATAATGTTGTTAATTAAATTTTAATAAGTTATTATTTCTTTGCTATTTATGGAAATTGTACAAAGACAATATGCATATTTACTACTTTATAAATTAGCACCCCAACTAATATTTTTACAACTAATGACCTCACTTATTACCTTTTTAATATTATTATCCAAAATATGAATACCTCGTATCTTTTCAAATGACAAAGTCTCAACAGATGCGTTTTTTAAGGTGAAGTAAGTACATTGCCAAAATTTGTTTTACAAGTGCCACTACTTAATATAAAAAAAATTATGCAGAATGGTAGAAAATTGACGAGGTACAAAAACTTTCGCTACCAATGAATCGTTACTGTTTATAAATTGTTTAATGGAACACACAGTATATTTTATATGAAATTTACGTCTTTGACCTTGATTTTGGTAAGCATTAAAAATTTATTTTCGTCTATTTTCGACGAAATATTGTAGGGATTTCCACTCTTATATAAGTTTTAAATACCACAAAATTTGACTCAATTAAGAATTTTTGCAAATTATTGTGAGAATGTATTTTTATTACCTAAGCTAACACACGGAAGTAGTGACACATAGCTCAAATGTACTATTTTTGAATAAATATAACTATCTATTAATAAACATAAACATGGATAAAAATTTGCAAAAAGATTTTTCTTCTACTATTCATCATCCTTGAATGTTGTTGAATGTTCCACTTGTTGTGTACATCTTTAACATATTTTTTCCTTTCGTGCATAATACCAGTAATTATAGAAAATAATACTTTTAACAAAAGCAATTTTATCACAAGAATAATTACTGATATTTTGAACATAGTTAAGCAAACAATATCCAAATTCAGTATAACTTTAAGTATGTTAAAAAATGTATGTAGAAAAAGAGGTACGTGTAAGAAAATATATTCACATTTCGCGTAGTGTTCAAGCAAATGTGTGTTAGTAGGTAACAGAAATTCTATTCTTTCACCAATTATTTCCGTTTGCAATTTCAGCCAAAACAATAAAATTACTTCCAGTGAGTTTTTCAGTAATCTGTTATTTTAGTAAAACAAAGTCTGCAAAACTTTTGTTTCAAATTACTAATGTTTTCACAAATATAAAATAGGCATTATTATAGAAAAAATAAGGAAGAGATTTAATACTTTTGTTTTTAGTGCAACAACATATAATCCATTTCATTTAAATTGGCATAACAGTAGGCCATGATTGTGTAAACTGCGCTTTAAATGTGAAAAAAGCTTTACATATTAAGGAACTAAATTTGTCACTGCAGAGAGAGTTTTTCTCCATAAAAAGTTTCATCCCTTTGTAGGTGTAGTTTTGACACCAAAAACATACACTATTTGCTTTGTAGAAAATACAGACTTTCGTTGATAATAAGTGGCTTCCAGGAATTTTAAAAGACGTTTTATTCACACCGGAGATGAAACACAATTTATTTTCCGTGAAAGTTGCAGCCAAAAGGGGTTTGGATTTTGTCATTAAAAATGTAGGACAAAATTGTGAATTTTTAAACAATGGTAAAGTTGTTGTGATCGGAGTGGAAAAAGGAAATCTGTACAAAATGAAGCTTCGCGTACTGAAGCCTGAAAAATCTTGTTTTGCCGTGGATAAAATAATTTGGCTTAATTCAAATTGGTATACTTGATTCCATTAACATAAAATGCCTAAAACAGGAACAAAAAGAAATTGATTATGTTTTCAAACATACCTTAGCGTGTACTTTAAATCTGGGGTTCTGAAGAGAACTACTTTTAATTATAATTTGAAAAAATAGTAGGAATAACGAACAACCAACGAAAACAGTGAAAAAACGAATACAAATGTCAGTCATGTCAGTTAAATAAACCATGTAGGTAAGTGATCAAAGAAAAACAAAAACCCCATCAGCTGTTATATCAGGGACATGCACAGGGCTACAAACTTAAATACGAAATTCCATAGCCACCTATTATGCCAATTTCAATGAAATATACTTTACAATTTTGTTATAATAAAGGGAAAAAATATTTTTTTAGGTCATGTTCTGTTAAAGTTTATTGTTATACTATATATGGTTACTTTGTTATTTCACTTGTTATTATTCAAGATGCGCCAGAACTCGCGCCCCAGAAGGTACAGTTGAAGACAAAATACTTTGGTCGTCACTTTTCTGACACTTTAATGTAATTCAAACTTTAACGTTAAAATTAATGACAATTTCAAATTAATGGACGCTATTATTCATATCTTTCTATCAAAAATATGTACAACTTGTCAACTGTGATTGGCAATAGCTAAAAATAAGGTTAACAGTCCTAAACCATGCTTTACAATTTAATGTCACTCAAGTGACATTGACGGCCAAAGTATTTTGTCTCCAACTGTACGATACCAGGAACATGGAAAAAATGTCAAAAATATCTATCTATAAAAATTTCGAAGTTATGAGAGTTTAAATTTTATTTATTTCTGTTGGAAAAATAATTTTCCCAGTTTTTTGGTGCAGGCTATTAGAATAAGAAGCAAGAAGGCTGTAATACCGTGCGATCAAAAAAATAAATAAATTAGATAGGCGGTGATTAAAGTCCTTCAGATGGCAGTCCTGAGAGTTTAATCGACGCCTAGGTACTCTAATTTATTTATTTTTTTGATCGCACGGTATTATTTGGAGCTTTTATTGACGAAATTTTTGTACCTTTACCAAATAATTATAAAAAACAAATACAAGATCATCAGTATCATTAAATAGACATAAAAAATGTCAAAAAGTAAATGTCAAAATTTAGAGAATGTAGAGTTTTTTAAATATTTTTTCCATGTTCCTGGTATTTTATCTTACTTGAAATTTTTCTCTAGGGCGCGAGTACTGACACACTAGTATAACAATAAACTTAGAGAACAGGACTTAAGAAAATATTTTTCCTTTTATTAATTATAACCAAAAACTCTCACAAAAATGGATCATCCAATAATATAATTTGGTACTTTTCTTTGACCTTCCAACAGTCAAATGTTAATGAACTTATGTTTTCAAAACAACTCTGACGTCAGCTAGGTAATGAATATATTACAAGAGTTTTCGATATTTTTGGCTTACAAAATTGGAAGTACCTAATTATAAATTATAAATATTAAAAACATTGTTTTATGCATCGTACTAGATTTAGTTAAGTTTACGAGTGACGAAGTCACGAGTGGACTTTTTTCACGAGTAGATAAACAATCTTTATCGTCGTGTATAATATTTCGTTTTATTTTGTACTCATCTAGCAAAATTTCTTGGAATATAAACAGTAGATAAAATTACTTTATTTCATTAGATGATAAACGACTACTTTATCTACTGAAATTAGTTGATAAAAGCACTCTTTAACATTGAGTACAAAATAAAATTAAAATTAATTAATTATTGCAGAAATCTATTTTTTACATAGCAGCGACATCTGCAAATGGTTAGTGGGGTAGGCAACATAATAAACATTTGTTGCGATATTATTTGAAACTGTAGTCTATTGAAGTTATTAAAATATTATTAAATCGTTTAAAATATACCTATTTAAACTAAATTTTAAAATAAAAGTTTATTTGTTCCCAAATTATGAGTTAGTATTTACGGTGTATTGTTAGTTACCTATATTAAAATTAATCCAGTGCAAGATATTTTTATTGTTAATTAGCTTATTAAATATATAAATATTTTAATTTTCTGAATGTGTATTAACCTCTGTTTTGTTTTTATTAAATGAACAATGCCGTCAAATTTCAAATTTTTACAAAAATAGAATCTGCACCCCTTTTGACATTTCAAAATGTCAATAACAACTTAACCTCGAAAAGTAAAAGAAACTTTTTGTTGATGGCAGAATCGTGAAAATCGCCAGGCGGCGGATTTGGAGAGCGGGAAAGCAGCCGTTGGCCAGGAGTCAAGTAGAGAAAGCGCCACGCGACACAAAAGTCTGAAGACAAGACCAGTTCGTGTCCTAATACGGCGGATACTGGTCATGACAGCGATATTTGCAGTCTTGGTGGCTATCAGTGCCGTTGTGTGTTTCTTCCTAGGCTGGAAAAGTCTCGTACAATTAATTTTAGTTGCTATCGTTGCATACCTTGCCGCTGGAAAGTGGAGATGGTTCTACGTGGCCCTTGTTACCGCCCCCAGAGACCTCAAGTAAGTCTTCAAACATTTCATTACTAAAACAAAAATTATTTTATTTCAAATTTTTTTATTATTATTAGTCCAAGCACGTGCATATTTCAAATTTATCACACTGATAAGATATGCATCAGGAGGGAAAGGATAAACTTTTCATAAAGTTAATTTTTTGGTTACGTTTTGCCTTATATCTTTTCATTCTCTTTCAAAATGCAACTTTTTTGAAGTTAACTTGTAGGTAATACTCGTGATTTTTTTTATTATATTTTTCTTGAGTTTAATTTAAAATAACAAATATATGAATTTTAAAATTGCAATCACTTAGATTAACAATTTAAAAATCAACAACCAGCAGAAATTGTTTTATGTTTTAAATGATGTAATATTTTAAAACTCAATACGAAACGCACTAATCAACAAACTATTAAATTTTGATATGGAAAATTTTTATGTATGTACATACTTACGGTTTTTATAGTTAGTTTATGCTGAAATTAATGAATTGCTTGTAAATTTCATTCGATTTTATGTAATGACTGTGAAAACCGTATCATTGTGAATTTTTTGCATATTATATGGCATTTTCTTTTCAAAATTAGCAATTTAATACACGTAAAGACACCTCGTTGTCCCATTATAATTTTTGAGACGACTTGCAACTTTTAATACTTGCAAAAAGTGCGCCACAATTGAAGTGGATCACTTTTTTTTACTTACTTAACTTCAAAAAACTTACTAAAATATCATATATGCAGTCATTTGTTGGCATAATACAAAATAAATATCTTTTTAGCTGAAGAGCCACTTTAAATTGTGAAGTAGTGTATTTATTTGAGCATTCAGTTAATTAAGTTAGACGAGAAATTGCATTAATCGTCTTCAGTTTTTTATATTTGAGTGAAATTTAACCAAATTGGATAATGTAATTAGCATAATTTTAATACGTCAGTGAAAATTTCCTACGATTTATCAAGGACGTGGGTCTATAATAATTTACATCATTCTTTTCTGTTATAATTAAATTAACATTGAATGTTTGAAATATAAAAATGTAAGAGTATTTCACTCGTCAGCTGTTAAATTACATATTTGTAATATGTACATTCATTTTTGTTTTACACACAATAGCCTACTCTGGTCTAAAACAAAAATGAATGTATTATATTTTCTTATTAAAAAAGTAGTGTCACCTTTAGAAAACTTTTACGGTCATTTAAATAAAATACAATAAATCATCTTTTTTATTTAGGTGTCCCAGAACTCGCGAATCAGAGAAAAATACCAAGTAAGATAAGATACCAGGAATACGAAAAAATGTTTAAAAAATTCTAGCTAGCAAATAAGGTTACAATTAAGGATACAGTTTCTTTGTTTCCTCTTCTAATAACCTGCCGCGAAAAAAAGATGAAAAATTACTTTTCCAGCAGAATCAAATAGGATAAAAATGTAAAATTTAAACCCCCCATAATTTCAAAATTCTTGAAATCTGAACTTTATCACTTCCATGTATTTTTCTCTGATCCGCGAGTTCTGGGACAATCTGTATAATAGATCCGGTCAATAACTTTAAAAAATACATTTTTCTACCAAGAAACATTGTAAAATATTTATCAAATAAAAAATATTACCTATTAATTAAAAAAAATACCAAGTTTGTGAGTACCTATGTATTATGAATTCATTAATTGGGTAGAATTTATAAACTTGTTATTTAAATTTCATTAACAAGGAGAAATACCGACAATTACATTTAAATTAGTTACAGTTACATTAGTTTAATAAAATTAATTAGACAAATTGAACTAAATAACTAAAAAAAATAACATTAACTTGGACAAAAGTTCGCATCCACAGTTTTTTTGATTAATACAATAAATTAACTTTTTTTAATCTAAATATTCATGTTTGTTATCTTTTTTTTTGTGTGTAGATTTTCTAATTTCTATTTTGGTTAGTGAAATCGCTAGTCCATTACTTTCATCATTTGTGCTAATTGCAATTTTTAATTAATAGAACAATGTCCCTTTTGCAACATTGTTTCACACACAAAATTAAAAAGTTGATCTTGTTGTGTGTACGTTATGTTTTTATAAACACATTATAATTTGCTGGTGGTCAAGGATTTTAAACCTGTCTTGAGTGTTTTCTAATGGAATAGAGGAATTTCCAATAAACAAAGTTAAATTACATTAAGAAAAATTCAGACTTTTTGCTTATGTAGTTATTTATCACTTTTATCGTGTTTTAATAAATTATAAATGAGTAGTTAACAATTGAATATTGTGACAAGTCATGCCCTATATTACCTATAATAGTATTGTTCTTGTATCCTGTTTCGTATTGCTTGCCATTATGTATATTTATTCCCAATTGCAAGTACAAATACCAAAAACAAACCGAACAAAATGCGGTTTTGTGTATTTTGCAATGTTGATTTTATCTTTACATTATAATGCAATTATTGCAGGGCTCTCTACAAATATGTAAGACTTCTAATTCAAATAAAATCATGGCAAAGAGAGGACGTAACCCTGGCCGATATATTCCGACGAAACGTAAAAAGACACCCTAACAAACCCTGTATTCTTTTTGAAGATCAAGAATGGTCTTTTGCTCAACTCGAAGACTACAGTAATAAAGTAGCGAACGTGTTTAAAAGTCACGGATATAAAAAAGGCGACGTTGTCGCTTTATTTTTGGAAAATCGGCCCGAGTTTATTGCTCTATGGCTAGGTTTATCGAAACTAGGTGTTATAACACCACTAATAAACACCAACCAAAGACTGGATTCACTCGTACATTCCATCACGATTGCTGGAAGTCACGCTGTCATTTTCGGAAGTGATTTAACAGATGGTAATTATACTGTTTTTATACAGGGTGTGTTAGAACTCGCGCCCCAGAGAAAAATTTCAAGTAAGATAAGATACCAGGAATATGACAAAAAATGTTCAAAAAATTCTGTCAAAAACTTTTGACATTTATTTTTTGACATTTGACTTGTTTATGTCTATTTAATGATACTGATGATCTTGTATAAGTTTTTTTATAATCATTTATTCAAGGTACAAAAATTTTACCAATAAAAGTTACAAATAACATTAAACAGAGTTACAATTTAGAATACAGCTTCCATGGTTTCTGTTCTAATAGCCTGTAGCAAAAAACTTGTAAAATTATTTTTCCAACGGAAATAAATAGAGTCAAAGTGCAAAGTTTAAACTCACATAACTTCGAAATTTTTATAGATAGAATTTTTACACATTTTTTCCATGGTATCTTACCTTACATGGCATTTTTTTCTGGGGCCCGAGTTCTGGCGCACTTGTATTAATGTGCATCAAGTAGGTTGTAGAAGTCTAAATGCATCTTTAATTTAAAGGCCGATTCACACAAAAAATGTCATTAATCTCATTCAGAAGAAATTTAATCACATCAGTAATAACAAAAGTTTTTAAGTTTGCTACCCTATGTTAATTATGTTATTAATTTTAATTATTTTGTGCTACCTGGGATACATAATTATTTGACAAAATTATTTTTAGGGAAGATTGAATTTTCGCATGGTTCAGTGACGTTCTGAGCCCTTAACGAGCCCATGTTCCATCGCGGCTGCATGGCCTCCCTTCCTACCCTACCATGCTACTGTTAAAATAATATTGGAAGTTTTGACAAAGAGTTTTGTCTAAAAATTTGTACAGCATGTTTTAAAATAATTTTCATCTACTCGCATATAGAATTTCTTTACCTGTGCCGCTCTACTCTTTCTGAATGAGATAGTTTTGTCAACAGTAATAGCTGTCAATTGAAATAAATTAACATTTGAGGTTAACTAGGTTCAATGTTTTTAAAGCGACATTTTTTATTTTGCATGGAAATTCCATAAGCAACTAGATGAAAATCATTTTAAAACTCGCTGTATATACAGTATGATCCCTTATTAAGTTTACAAGAAAAATTTATCTTTGATTTTACACCAAAACTGCAAAGAAAAAAAGTTTTTGCTTTACTTGAAACCAGCAAATCTGTAATTGAAACTTCATTATTTTAACTCAGTAGAAAGAAAAGTTAATTTTTCTCTTGATTTTGGACTTAGAATGTTTTTCTGTGCTTTTTTTTGTTTTTGTTGTACACCCGGAGAATAATTTTTCTCTGCTTTTTAAGTCTTATCACATTGGCGGTTTTAATTATTTGACGACTATATGTCACTTTGACAATTAATTTATTAATTACATAATGATAGTTCTTGTTAAAAATGACTTGGGTTTTTACCTTAAAGCTGTTTAAAAAACAGAGAAAAATTATTAAGTCCAAAATCAAGAGAAAAATGAACTTTTCTTTCTACAGAGTTAGAATAATGAAGTTTTAATTACAGATTTGGTGGTTTCAAGTAAAGCAAAAACTTTTTTTCCTTTGCAGTTTTGGCGTAAAATTAAAGATAAAAAATTTTTTCCTCTTTTAAACTCAATCCGGGGACATACTGTATATAGCCATAATCAGTTAGGTCGTACTCGTTTTTGCGTTTTTGGATTCCCCGAGTTATTTTGTAAGAGTTATCATCGATCTTTTCTATACCTAAGTTCAGCCTTTTTTGATATTTTCAGACTTTTTGAAAATATTTGAATTTAAACCCTCCTATTCAAAAATCGCTAACTCTGCAATTTTTAACTATTATGAAATCGTATTTTAAAAATTAAAAAAGAAAGAATCGGTGGATTTATAAGTAAAAAAATCATTAACAAACCCTCAAAGTTTAACGTTACGTTTGGGGAAAGATACCTACACATAAGTCAATTTTTCTAGATGAAACGCTTTAAATTTTTCCTCATTAGATGGAGTAGAATTCTGCTTAACATCCTCAACCTTAACATAAGCCCAAGCAGACATAACATTTTTTGAGTCATCACACCTAATTAAAAAATAATAATTTTCGACTTTCTTAAATTCGTAACTTTTAATTGGACAACGACAAGGACTCGTGCGGGCCCCTTTAGGGCCCGGGCCCGTATTCCGCGGAACTCTGCTCAGTACGTCACTGCATGGTTGCCACCCTAAAATGATCCCTTTCAACGACTACTTCGATGCACATTATTATAATATGAAAACAAATATATTGAATAATTTTAAGGTTTGTTAATTAACAATAAATTGTAGCAATAATCGACATTTTCGAAAAAATCGAATCGAAAGTCACTTTTTACCAGTTGTGTGTCAACGACAAGTTGAACGTCGATCAACGATTCCGCGATTTGCAACAACTGATCAACGATGCGCCCCCGACGCCCCCCAGCATATCGGAAAAACTTCACCATCATGATAGATTGGTGTATATTTACACTTCGGGGACTACCGGATTGCCCAAAGCTGCCGTCATCAACAGTTCACGGTAAAACTCGTCAGCAAATAGTTTTCCTTGCGAAATAATAATAAATAATAACAATATTTTAAATCGCCCCCTTGAACTTTGTATTCTTCTTTCTATAAAAGTATCATTGTGTTGTAGTTACATTTTCATCGCTGCTGCTATTCATTGGTTGGCGGGATTCAAAAGCTCGGATTGCTTTTATACGCCGTTACCGTTGTATCACACTGCCGGAGGATGCATGTCAGTGGGACAAATGCTGATTTATGGTGCTACTTTAGTCATTAGGAAGAAATTTTCAGCGTCCGCTTATTTTTCCGACTGCGAAAAATACAAATGCACGGTAAGTATTGTTTTTAAAATTGAGCGAGTCAAGGTTTGATTTGATTTAATTGACCAAAAATACGAAATGAAACACATACACCTTGGAACACCAACAATGTGTTGATCAAGGTCGGCAAGCGGTTGACGGTTCAAGCTGAAAAAAATAAATTTATTATTGTAGGTTTTCGAGAAGTGTACTAGAATTTTAAAACATGATTCACAAAAAAGCAGCATTGTGGAATAACAAGTTGGCTAAGAATAATAATTATTTACATTCGTGTGTGGTCACTGACATTTTACTTGAAAAAAATTGATAAAATTGAAAATAAAAATTGAGGCAATCAGATTCAAATTACGCGATAATTCAGCACAGTGGCGTACTGAAGCTCTTAACGGGCCCGTGTTCCATCGTGACTTCCCACATCCATCATGGTAGTCTTAAAGTCAATAATTATTTTTATAAATTTATTAATAAAATATATAGAATGCGCCAGAACTCGCGCCCCAGAGAAAAATTTCAAGTAAGATAAGATACCAGGAACATGGAAAAAATGTTTAAAAAAGTCTATCTGTCAAAAAAATTTGACATTTATTTTTTGACATTTGACATTTTTTATGTCTATTTAATGATACTGAAGATCTTGTATATGTTTTTTTACAATTATTTAGTAAAGGTATCAAAATTTTGCCAATAAAAGCGACAAATAACATTGAACAGAGTTACAATTTAGAATACAGCTTCCTTGTTTCCTCTTCTTATAGGCTGTAGCAAAAAAACTTGGAAAATTATTTTTCCAACAAATAAATAGAGTCAAAGTGAAAAATTTTAACTCTCATAACTTAGAAATTTTATTATTTATTTTTCCATGTTCCTGGTATATTATATCTTACCTTATATGGGGCGAGTTCTAGCGCACCCTGTATAAGAATACTATCTTGTAAAATAACAAAAAAAAACATACTAAAACATGAACATAATATGAATAAATTAATAAATATGCTTATTCAATAAACAAGATATTTTGGTTAAACCTCACATTAGAGTATTGGGAGTTCTAATAATGATGTTTGTCTAAAAATTTGTATAGGTATAGCCATATTCAGTTAGGTCCTGCTCAATGAAAATATTTTCAAGATGGTTATATCGGAAGTGGATATCAACTTTATTATTTTAAATAGAAAGCTATGTTTTTATTGTGTTTTTGGATTCCGATTAATTCTACGACAGTTATCATCAATATTCCTTATACCTAAGTTCAGCCGATTTTGAGATTTTTAGACAATTTATAATTATTATGAAATCATATTTGGTTATTTAAAAGAGAAAGGATCGATTCATAATTTAAATATTAACAAATCCCCAAAATTTAACGTTGCGTTTGGGGAAATTCAAATACTCATAAGTCAATTTTTCTAAATAAAACGCTCCAAATTTTTCTTTATTAAATGGAAAAGAATTTTGTTCTGCTTCAATCTGTATTAACATTCTCTATATGCTCAAGCTATAACAATTTTTTAGTCATCAAAACTAATTTTAACAGCTAAATAAATTAATTTTGAAAATATTGTTTTTGTAAATCTTGTTTGGGAAATAGCCTATAAAATGGTCCTCCTGCATGCTAAATTGATTCTAATTCTTATCTCGTGTACTTCGTGAACTCTGCAAATTTGTCGACTATTTGGCATGCACTCGGGATTTTACTATTGAAAATTTGTAAAAACTTCAAGAAACAATAATGACTAATTTTTAAGATCATTCAGCCTTTGCATACCCTAATTTTACTCATCTCAAATTAATTGAATTAATCAAAAACTGTTACCTCCAAACTGTATTCAGCACTCGATTTACGAACATTCAAAAAAAGAATGTTTTATTTTTTTTCCGATTTTTTTTTATTTTACAAATAACTAATATTTATTTTGTACTCAATGTTAAAGAGTGCTTTTATCAACTAATTTCAGTAGATAAAGTAGTCTTTTATCGTCTAGTGTAATAAAATAATTTTTATCTACTGTTTATATATTTTATCAACCAATTTAAGTAGTTAAAGTAGTCTTTTATCATCTTGTGAAATAAAGTAATTTTTATCTACTGCTTATATTCAAGAAATTCTGATAGGTGAGTACAAATTAAAACGAAATATTATACACGACGATAAAGATTGTTTATCTACTCGTGAAAAAGTCCACTCGTGACTTCATCACTCGTAAACTTAACCTTTTCACTCATAGAATCTCTTTATCGTCTTGTATAATAAATAATTAAATCTAGTACGATGCATAAAACAATGTTTTTAACATTTATAATTAGGTACTTCCAATTTTGTAAGCCAAAAATATCGAAAACTCTTGTAATCATCAGCTGACGTCAGAGTTGTTTTGAAAAGTTCATTAACATTTGACTGTTGGAAGGTCAAAGAAAAGTACAAAATTATATTATTGAATGATCCATTTTTGTGAGAGTTTTTGGTTATAATTAATAAAAGGAAAAATATTCTCTTAGGTCCTGTTCTCTCAAAGTTTATTGTTATACTAGCAAAGTAACAATAACAAAGTAAAAATTAAAGGGTGTGTCAGTACTCTCGCCCTAGAGAATAATTTCAAGTAAGATAAAATACCAGGAACATGGAAAAAATATTTAAACTTAACTTTTTCACTCGTAGATAAACAATTTATTTATCATCATAAATAACTATTCATTGTTAAAAAGTTGAAAAAAACTGTTTTTTTTTTTATGTTCAATGTTCAAAAACAATACACTCGTTCCTTTAATTCTTTTGTAAAACTTTGATCAATCAGTTCGAGAAAACGATTTGATGAATCGATTTAAAACTTTCCAGGGCTATTAAGGGTACATTAAGCTGTGAAAAACTAGAAACATTGGTCTCCCCATCAGTATTTATGCATATACGGTACATTTACTAAAACAACGAAGAAAGTTACTTTTTTTCTTATCCATGATCAAAAACAAAAGGATCCTTTTTCATTAAAAGTCAGATATCTTAACGACAAATTGACGTAAAGAGAACATAAAAAAGCAAATTAAAGCTAAATGAACAAGCTATCTGGTCCATACATTGATTGAACTTAAAAAAAAATCCTCAAATCCCTGAACCAAAAAAAAATTACAACATTTTTCTGTCACTATTTCTTATACCAATTGAACGAAAAGTTTTTTGCTTAAACTATTTATTTTTTGGAAAAATTAATTGATGAATAAAGTACTATAAAAATGTGATGTTTTATCAAGAATAAAATTTTTCGAAATTTTCTTTTGTTTTTGAGTTCTAGAATTTTTTAAATTTTTTTTAATGGCAACCCACTACAAAACCATTTTCTCATAAAAGTTATGATCTAAGGATTACAACTATCTACTTAATATTTAATTTTTTCAAATTTTTTTTTTACATAAATTCCAGTTTTGACAAAAAAAGTCGCATAACTCAAAAACATGGACCTAGTACAGTAAATACTACTCCATGCTCAAAAACAAAACTTTGTTCTCAAAACACAATCACATTTTTTATATTACTTTAATTTATAATAATTATTGAAGGCAAATGATTGAAAAAAAACCGCTTGCTCCCATACTTTATATTCACCCTGTATGTCATTGTGTGATAATGTAGCTTAGATTTTTTTTTCTAAAAAATCTCTAGACTAGAAATTTAAAGCTTTAAAGTGTCTTTTCTTTAAATTCAAAATTTAGAATTTTTTTATTCCCTTAATTTGTTGGAGTAATGTATTTTGTATACCATAATAAAAACTAATGATTCAAAATTGTTTTATCTTGTTTGGAATACTCCGCACAACGGTATCCGAATTATTAATTGCTTACATGTATTTGGAGATTACTGTGAAAGAGCTTTCATTTAAATTTATCAGTAATGATTTTAGAAAAATTTAGTTTTGTTAAACTACTTATTTTTTACTTCTGAATTAACGATAAATTTTGCTCTCGCCGCTGAGACAGTTGTCCGTAAAACAATACAGCAAAATATTCATTGTTCTAATAATTGCTGAAATTGTTAAAGAAATCCGGTACATAGATTGTTTTAGAAAAACTTACCGATAATTGCAATCAACCATACGTACAAAACTGTTGCTTCGTAGTTTGAAACTCTTCAACTCAATCTTTATCATTTATGTAGGTTGTGAATTGAATCTAGTCTAGAATTAGGTTATTGTTAAATTTAATTGATTGACACCCCACGTTTATGTACCATTTCTTTCCTTCTCTAGATTGCTCAATATATCGGAGAAATGTGCCGCTACATCCTCGCAGTGCCCCCAAAACCATCAGACACCCAACACCATCTTAGAATGATATACGGAAACGGCCTACGGCCGCAAATCTGGTCCGAATTCGTCGAAAGGTTCAAAATACCGAAAGTGGCCGAATTTTACGGCGCCACTGAGGGAAACGCTAACATTGGTGAGCGAAAACTATCCCAAAAAAACCGTAATTTTACTTTTGTTTTACAGTCAATGTGGACAATACTGTGGGGGCAATCGGCTTCGTCTCACGAATCATTCCTTCCGTATATCCAATTTCTATAATAAAAGTCGATCCCCAGACGGGAGAGCCCATCAGAAATGCCCATGGGTTATGCGTGCCGTGCAAACCCAACGAACCTGGCGTTTTCATAGGGAAAATCATCCCAAATAACCCATCGCGTGCGTTTTTGGGTTATGTGGATGAGGAAGCTTCCAAGAAGAAGGTGGTTACGGATGTGTTTCACCGAGGCGATAAAGCATTTTTATCAGGTTGGAAATGAAAAAAAATTGATTTCCAGTTTTAATTCTTTGTCTAGGAGATATTCTAGTCGCCGATGAATTTGGATATTTGTTCTTCAAGGACAGAACTGGTGATACCTTCCGATGGAAAGGCGAAAATGTCTCAACTTCGGAAGTTGAAGCAGTATTAAGTAACGTTATTTCGTACAAAGATGTGGTAGTTTACGGTGTTGAGATTAGAGGAGTTGAGGGAAGAGCAGGAATGGCAGCGATTTTTGATCCTGAGGGAACAGTTGACCTCGCACAACTTGCAGAAGGCACCAAAAAGGCCCTACCGTTTTATGCTAGACCGATTTTTATTCGAATTTTGAAGAAGTTAGATATGACAGGTTGGTGTGTGTGATTTAATATTAACATCGAATTTAATCGTTGCTTTTAGGTACTTACAAATTGAAGAAAAATGATCTACAGAAAGAAGGATTTGATGTTAATAAGATAAACGATGATATTTATTATTTGAACAGTAAAGGCACTTATTCCTTAGTCACGCCAGAAATATATCAGCAGATTAATAATGGAATAATCAGAGTGTAATAAATGTGTAGTGACGTACTCGGCCTCTGTGATTCACCTCAAATGACTGAAAAATATTAGGGACGTATTGCGTGAGCAGTGTTCGAATTAAGCATCAAAAGCGTATTTTTTATATACGTATTTGTAGAATTTTTTAATTGTTATTTTTTGGTTAAGTTTAACTATACATATTTATGTAATAAAACTGTTGCGAATATATGGTTGGTACAAGGACTTGTATTTTTCAATCAAACTCCTAGTTTAATCAGTCTTTAAAATAACAATCTTTTTGTAATTTTATTTAAACTTTCGAAAATAATAAATACACAATATAAAGCATCCACGATTTAAAAATTGACAAATAAAGTTGTTAGATATTTACAATTTTGTACAACTATCCTATCTGGGTATTTGCTTTATAAAAATAGAATAAATAAAACCTTTAAATAAAATCACTATAATAAAAAACGGAACAGACACGTGCAAGTGTTGAAATGGAAGAAATGCATGCCCCAAGCGGAATGGTCGATTGCTCTATCACAAAATAAAATTAAAGCAACCATCAGCTATGAGGCAAAGCTCTGGTTTTGGGGCCGCTTCCCAGTTTCGGTTTAGAGCCGAACCACGATCTCTTCCATTCTAAAGTATCGTTAACTAATTTTTCCTCTTCGGCTGTAAATTTAAGTAAGGTAGCTATTGCTTTGGTTAAGTGTTGAGCTTCGTATTCTCGACTCGTTAAAAATTTAATAACTACATGTTTTAAATATTTGAAATTAACATCGTCCTCGTCTCTTCGCACCACACTAGGAAAAGTTTTTGTCGAAACTTGACTGGGAGTGAGAATAGCTGCTGAATTATCCAATAAGTCACTATGATAATTGGGATTACCTGGCGTTCGTAATTCTTGCTGCAGGGTTTTTTTCATGTCAGCCAATCGAAGCTGAAGAGTTTTAATATTCTGAAAAGAAAAAATGTTCACACTGAAAAATAAAGCGTCTTTCTGATTAGTGAAGTAACAAACACATTTTATATATGAAGAATTTCACCCGCACCTCCCAAAATTGCAGAAAAAAATTAAATTACATTTGTTAAATTAAATTAAAATAAATGTCAAAATTTCACAGAATTTTTTTTATTTTTTACTGGTATCTTATTTTATTTGAAATTTTTCTCTGGGGCGCGAGTTCTGACACCTGTATTGTTTTCATTGTACACTTGAGTGCAAAAGAACGCAAATTGTCAAAAACAAAATTAAAAACGAAATGGAAAAATTATGAAATTACACAATTATGAAATTTTGAATTGTGATAAAGACAACATCAAAAAACTGGCATTTATTAACAGGACAAATTACATTATAAAAAAAATCAATTTGCGTTTTTTGCACTCAAGTGTATCTCTTAATTTATAGAAGATACACTGATTTTTTTAAACAACATTTTCATATAATTGAAGCACTTATTTTTTACGAATTGGTGGAATCGTTAAATTCTTCCACCAAAGGGCTCCATCACTACTCTGGTGGCTTTTCAAAATTTGATGATAGTTGTCATAAAATCGGCTCGTGACCATTGTTGAAGGTTAATTGTTAATGCAAATGTTTAAAATTTCGGTAAATTTTCTTCAGTTAGTTTTTTAGTGACGCTAATTTATTAACAAATTATAAATGAGACTAAAATTTACATAAATAATAAATTGAATAAAATTAAAATCGTTAATATTCTAACAATTTTATTGAATTAAAAATTTTGCAGATTGATTTTGTTAGGAATTCCTTCCACCACACACGTGACCGTGTCACTAACTTTAGGTATGTTAAAAACTTTATTATTTTTATTTACTTCATTATATTGTTGTACTGAAAATTTAAGACACATTCTGGACTTCCTTTGTAAAACTCTCACATTCCTTAATAAATAGTAATAATAAATAAATAACCAAATAAATTGATAGAAGGAAACTTTTAATTCCTAGGAAGTTTAGATATCAATTTAATAATTTACTTTAATAAGAATGCTTTGGAGGGTGCGTACAAATTTTGATTCACCCGCTATACAAACAAAAAATTCCCATATTATAGTTATTTATTCGACGAATGTGAGTGTAAATCGGACGGTTTATTTGACCGAGTGGATTTTTAAGCCACGAGTGTAACGAGTGGTTTACCATCCACGAGGTGGAATAAAGCGTCCGATTTACACTCAAACGAGTTGAATACAACATTTTATTCTTCGAATTAGACTCAACAAGGCTTAAACATGCTTTAAAACTGTTAAAAATAATTTGACGTTTCGTATTGAGAAATGCCAAACAGTTGTCAAAACTTTCTTACACGGGAGAAAAACCATAAATTTTGACAGTGTCGAAGAATAAAAAAATAAACTTAATTTGTTACCTAATGTTATAAAGCAAATCATTTTTAATGAGATTTATTGCAATAACTTTTCCACCCATTAAATAAAGTAATATTTCCATTGTTTTGTTGTTGAATAATTTAACAAAACATTAAAAACTCAAATGAGAATTTAATTGGTTCGTAAAAACACATTTAAGAAAATCAACCTTGTTTCCCTATTTTATTTTGTTTTGTCATTCAAGCCAATTTTACGAAATTCTACTAACTTGAGCAAATCAATTAATTTAAAAAAATTAATTAATTAATCCCTAGTCAATTTTTTTATGAAAAAATAATTATGAAAATAATGGAAGCTTATAAATGAAGCAAATAGATAAAAAAATTAGATACCTAGAAATATCAACAATGGTCAATATATAAATCATTTTTATTTGAACTCCTCGTTTCGAGTTATGACTCCATAAACCAGATAAACATAGAAACATAAACAATATTTGACCTATTTTTGCTTGATAATTAGCTAATCAAAAAGACAATTTTCTGCCCTCTTCGCAGTCAATACATACCTTATTTTTTTCCGATATTTGATCTTCCAACTCCGCTATGTTATTCCTCAACTCATATTCCATTGCTTTACTTTCTTTATGTTTCTTACTCTCTTCTTCTAATTGACTCAGTTTGCTAAGCAATTCGTTCATTTCATTCTCTTGTCGTCTTTTTTCCTGCTTGATTATTTCCATTTGTTGAGAAACTTCAGCATTGCGTAACAGCGCCGTATTTTTCTCTGCAGTCACTCTTGACAATGTTTTTTGTACATTTAATGAATTCGTTTTTTCTTCACTAAGTTCCTTCTCCAATTTCGTTATTATTTGCCTGAGTGAACCGTTAGCCTCGTGTTCCGAATCCACTGATATTTTTAATTTACTACATTCTTCCCCGGTTCTGTCTAACTCACATTCGGTGTTTTCTAAATTCTTCCGGACCACTTTCACTTCTGTAAGGGCATTTTGCTAAAATGAATCCACAAAATTAATACAAAAGCAATTTTTTTACAAAGAATGTTGGGAGAGGATACACAAAAGGTTACATCCCGCACTAAAAAAAAATACAAAATATTCTAAAAATTTTTTATTTCATAATATAAAACAAAAGCAACAAAATAAAATAAAGGCAAGATAAAAACCAAAGCGGTGTTAAATACTGAATGTTAAAGTTATTCCCCAAGGATCACTATACAGGTATAATATAAAATAAATATAACCAGTGTTGGCAAACATGAAATAAAGTAAAAAGCCCCGTTTATTTACAGTGACTCACAAGTTGTGTCCTGAGGAAAGCAACTTCCTCCTCGGATTCAGATCGCAGAGCGTTAAGCTCCTTGGACAACTCTTCAACATCCATAGTTAATCGTTTGATTTTCGTTTCTTTATTATTAATTTCTAATTTATTACACTCTAATTCCGCTTCCATTTGTCTGACTTTCTCGGCTAGTGTTTCCTTTTCTTGCACTGCTCTTCGTCTTTCACTCCCTTCTTCAGCGGCTTGTCTACTCAAACGTCCCACCTAAAAGGCGAAATGAAATTAAAACACAACAAAATTGGGCAAAACCTGAGTCTCTAAAGAGGCAATTTTATCACTCCATGACGTTTTAATGTCTGCCAAGTGCAAATGGGCCTCTTCGAGTCTCTGTTCCAAAAGACGTCTCTCAGAGGCGATATGCTCATCGTCTGACGTTTCATTGGCCACTCTCTGTCTCAAAACAACAACAAGATCGGACAAATGCCGCCTCTCTTCCTCGCTTTTGGCCAATTGGGTGGCCAAAGCGGCCAAATCTCGCGAACTGGAATGTCTCAATGACTCCAAATCGTCCTAAAAGTAATTGCCTCAATGAAATAATCCAAGGAAGGTCAGATATGACACAAAAGCCAAAAGCACATACCTGTGATTGCTGAAGCTCACCAAATAAAATAAAACAAGTGCGAACTCTCTTGAAAATTAAAACACTTGAACATAAAATTAATTTTGAGACACAAATACACGTCGTGGGGGAAATTTTGAGTAGCGCATTGACAAAATGTGCAAATTATTACCTGCAAATCACTCAATTGCTCCTCCTGTCTGCAAAGTCTGGACACCTCACTTCGCAATTTCTCCAATTGGGCGTTAGCCTCCTTCAAAGCTGCGGTCTTTTCAGCCAACTCCTGTTCTCTCAATAAGACTAAATGTTTAATTTTGCTTAATTCCTGAGTTTGGAAGTTTTCTATTTGTTCCTTGTCCTCCTGATGTTCCACTAGTTTCTGTTTAAACTCTATTAAAATACTCGATTAGAAAAAATTCTGTACATTTCAAAGTACAAACCTTCGGCATTTTTTAGCGTTTCTTTAAGCATCTGGATTTGTTTTTGAGCCTCATTTTTCTCCTTCTCCAGACTTTGTAACTGCTTGTCTTTTTCTGACACGATTTCTCTCCATTCTAGTTCCTTCTGATCTAATTTCCGTGTAAATTCCACCTCAATTTTCATTATTCGTTTTCTTAATTCCTCAGAATCAATACTGCCATCCTCTTTGACACCATCTGATGATACAAGAGAATTAATGCTTGATGAGGATCCATGGTGAGAACGCCCCCTTAACGAATCTATCCTCTGGACTGTAGAGGAAGTTATTTTTGCTGTTAACTTGGACAGGTCGCTGCCAGTTTCTTCACGAATTTTATTTTTCAAAGAGGCAAACATGTTTCTTCCCTCAATTTATTTTATGGACATTATTGAGCACTGGTTTTGTAAAATGTGGTAGAATTTTCAAAAATGTGAACACAAGTATTGGCAAAACGGTCGCATATTCCCATTTACACGTATGTATTGATAATATTAATAATTTTTATTAGTGGCAATGTTCAGTTCAACGACAGGTGACAGACAGGTGTGACAACAACACGCTGACGTTTGCACCGCAAAATGACACAATCACGTACTGCAATTAGTCAACTTAACAAAAATTTATTAAACAAAAAATAAGAACATAAAACCGTCGCATCTAAAATTATATCAAAATATGGTGCTTTTGTCTTTAGTCACAGATTAACCAGCTAATCTGTGCTGTAATAGTAGAGTATTTTTAGCAGTAGATGCAGGTACTCAGAAGAGTGGAGGTACCAACCTTGCAAAAGATTTACACTAAAATGATCAGTGAAAATGAGTTTAACAGTGGCGTAACAAAGTAAGTTTGCTAAATGGAACTAGGGTCCGTAAAATTATTTCTACCTACAGTTTTTATTTTGCATTTACAGCTGCTTACAGCAAAATTCAGACTTACTTACCTCTAAGTAAAACATAATAATAATGATGTGTTTAAAAATTTTGGAACTCTTGTTGTAAAATGTGGCAAATGTGTCACTTTAAAAATCATAAGAAAACAACACAAACGAACGCAAATGAGTTAAAAAGTGCTACAAGTGCAAAATAAATTATTTGAAGACTTATTAAACGAGCCCTTTGACAATTGTGACCAATTGTTTTTTTTTTAGTTTATCTATTTTAAATTCAGCTTGAAGCCAGAGAAGATATGAAGCGATGCAGAGTCCAATATTAATATTTGCCTTTTTATTTTGATGATAGACAGAACACCTCAACTAAGACATGAAAACACTAACCAGCATGGGCGCCCGCAGAAATTATGGTCAGGGGGGGGCAAAAAAAAGAGTCGAAATTAATAATAACAGTTTTATTCGTCTGTTTTCATATCACTCAGTTCGTTGTAAATAGTAGTTTCCTATTTCGTTCATGAAAATTTAATTTAGAACGAGTTTGTAGAAAATCAAAAAAAATTTTTTTTATATAAAATAGCAATCACTATTGTCCCAGGGGGGGCAACGGCCTCCACTGCCCCCCTGTGGGCGACCATGCCAACCAGATCAAAGCTACATTAGTAACGAAACAATAAAATTGAACAATTATTTTTAAATTCAATTTAAAATTTAAAGTTTTGTCGAACCAGAAACTATTAAAAAACTGCAGTTTAAATTTACTTATTTTTAATAAGTTTTAAATGGTTTCTTTTCAGTCTTTTTGCAAGTACTACAAGAATAAAGCAAATCTGCACGTCACTGTCGTCAACTTCAAAAATCTCCCGCCCATGTGTGTACTTTTGGCTTTTACTCCACTCTAACATTTTTATAATTAATTTTTTGCTAAAATTATTTTTTTGTGTCCAAAAATGTATTTTTCTATTTCGATGTTAGAATAAGTCTATTCCAGCACCCAAATGACGTCATTTGCGTGCTGGAATAAAAAAAAAAGTCGTTCGCGATAATTTAATTTTAGTGACGCACTTTCTTCACAATTTATTTTCAAATGTGAAAATAAGAATAATTTTTATTTTTTACAGCCGCCTAAAATTATTCCACACATAAATGTCGCCAACTGTCGCAAAATTCTCTAGAAAAAAAAATAATTTTCGTTTTTTAAATTATAAAATGATATAGGTAAAGCGGCGAAATAGAAAAAATTGTATAAAGCACTTGTTGGAGAAGGTTCTTCAAGCACTCATTTGTTCCTCAACTCGCCGCTTCGCGGCTCGTTTCGGAATTTCATATTTGTGCTTGAACCTTCTGCAACTTGTACTTTAATATACTAGTCTAGCTTTAGTGTTTGTTTTAATTACAATTTTCACCATGTAAATGACGTCCTGAAGAAAAAATAAAGGACTCCGAAACGTACCTAGAAATTTGTTTCATTCCAGGCAGTCCAATAATTTCAAACAAATTCCCAACATTTAAATTAATCAATTTTAAACAGTCTCCAACCTTGGTGAAAAAAATGTAAATAAAAATAAACGTGTGTTGTTAGAAAATCTTTATTCTTTACTTTCAAATAAACTTTCAGTCAAATGCTGATTGTATTATAAATATATCAATATTTAATATTAACTATGTAATAACTAGTCACTATGTACAGTAAAACCATGATGACAGAAATATACTGAATATATTTAGGACAATGATTGATATTTAAAAAGAGAGTATTGAAAACAAAATATAACAAAATTAATAAATAATCTCACTTCCTTATAAATATTGTGGCAATTGCTTAAATACAATTAAAACGTCTAAAATGGAACTTCACCATATGAAGTAAGTACATTTTACAAAAGAAAATTCGCTAATAAAAATTGTACTAAAAAAATTTGCAGACACAGAAAAGCGGACGTAAAACTTTCGAGATTCTGTATAATAAAGTGATAAAAAGAAGTAACAGTATTTAAAAAACGCACATACCACCTATCGTAAAGTTCAGACCACAGCTAAGAACGATATCAGTGCTATGACGCCAGGCCATAATTTAGTAACAAAACATCAAAGCATTAAAAGTTTTACATATAACACATCTTTCCTCCTATATTACAAAATCACTGTCTCAATAGCAGTACGGTAACTGTCCAAATCACTTGTGATAAAACTTTGAAACCACTACCTATTTATCAGCATCGGGAAGCGGTGGCGCTGAAAACTCTATCGTATATGTCTTTTTCTGTGTAATGTCTTCAATGTTTTGTCCGGTGCAGTCTTGTCCGGAGTGCCCCATCGCGCCGCAATTATAACAATTGGGATTCCTAGGCTGGAACGGACTGGAAAATATAAGGGGCATGTAGGAAGGAAGTGAGTAAGTCGGAAAGGAATTTTCGTTTGTCTGATAGGATGGAAAAGGTGTAAATGGTGGTCTGTAGGACTGGCTATATGGGAACATTGACCTGGTAGGGATGGCGGTAAACTGATAAGTGGTATAAGGCACGGAGCAATTGTTGAAAGTGGGTGTCGGCGGCGGCGGGGGCGACGTCGTGTCGCACATCGGGAGGCCCGGCGCCGGTGGGATGAACGGCATTCCATTCACGCGGGGCTTTTGCGTCGGATGGGGTGTCGCGGCCGGCGTTTCTGGAGGGGTTTGGTTTAAGCTGCTGCTACTGGATGAGTTCGAACGGTGGAGCGAGTTTTCGACGACGTCGTTCATATTCAGTGCCTGAAACTGGTCGACCAATTGGTGATGGCTGTTTTTTGTAGGACACGAAACGCCCAAACGAATACCATTTGGCTGTTTCACTTCTTTCATAGGAACTGTCACCCAAGAACCCTCCAACAATAGCTTGTCCTCCGGTATCGAGTTCAACTGTAAACAAAAAGAAGCAAATCGCGAAACTATTCCATTAATGTGTCTAGTTTGCTTCATACTACAGGGTATTCCGTCTAAACCCCACATTAGAAGTATTGGAAGTTGGAATAATTGTATTTATTTGAAAATTGGTACATAGCCATAAACCATTAAGTCCTCCTAAATGAAAATATTTTCAAGATGGCGGCACTTTCGGTTATACCGGAAGTCGGCCTCAACATTCTTATTTTAAATGAAAAAGTATATTTTTTACTGCGTTTTTGGATTAATCGGGTTATTTTACGAGAGTTTCCATCAGCTTTCCCTATACCCAAATTTAGCCGTTTTTGAAATATTTGGAGTTTTTCAAAAAGTTTTGGATCTGCAGCTTACACTTTAAAAATCGGTAACTCTGCCATTTTTTAAGATTTTGAATTCGTTTTTTTGGCGTTTGAAAGAGAAAGCTTAGATTCTTTTTCTGGTGTTTTCAAATTTTGAAAAAAAATAACATCCCAAAATTTTAATGTAACTTTTGTAATAATTCAAATACTCATAACTCAATTTTTTCAAATGAAATACCCGAATTTTTATTTTAGTAAGTAGAAGAGATTTTAATTGAGCATTGATCTGTATTAACATTCCCTATACCTAAATTTAATAATTTACAAGTTATGGCCTTTTTTTTAAGACTACAGAAAATTTATTACTAGCCACACCCGTTTTCACATAGCAATGCTATGGAAATCAAAACTGTCAAAATTTTCTCTAAACAAACGACAACAGTAAATTACTATTTGACAAATAGTGCCAAAATATGAAGAATCAAAGTTATGCAAACTTAATTATTATTGATAGGTTCTACCATGCGATCATTATTTAAAGCTAACAAGTGAGAACAATTTATTTTTGTTTAATGAACGACATCATAATTTTGTTACACTCTCCATAAATACAAAATAAATTAATTAAATCTCAGTTTGAGTAGCTTTGACTCTCCATATTTTGGCACTATTTGTCAAATAGTAATTTACTGTTGTCGTTTGTTTAGAGAAAATTTTGACATTTTTTATTTCCATAGCAAACTATACGAAAACGGATGTGGCTAGTAATAGATTTTCGGCAGTCTTAACAAAAAGTCACCATGCCCATTTACATAAACAATTAAGAGCATCGATAATATAATTTGTATTTTTTAGCCCGATTTTTAAGTCTCCTGTCCCAATGTGCAGTACAGCATCGTCAAATTTAAAGATAGCATTAAAAATCCTTTTTTTTTATTGTACCATATCACCATATGATCAAAAAAAAATATCCTCTAAATAGTGGTATCTCAATTTTACAATTTTACGAAGCCTGCTTTTGTAAAATGCAATCAATAATACAAATAATACAAAATTCAATACAAACTCGATTAAAAATATTGAAAAATTGTAGTTTTCTGGAGTTTGTACACCCCTAAAATAAACAATTGGCAATAATTAAAGTCGACCTTCTTTGTTTGTTAGTAATTGAGATAATTTTTTTTTAACTCATTAATAAAAAAATTATTAATTTGACAGCGATTGTAAAGATTTCAAAAAAAAATTAAATGTAACTTTCTTGTATCATTAGTCTCCTCATGAAATTATATGAAACACCTTGTAGTAAACCAAAAATGCCAAAACAATTTATTACTTTACTAGAAAAAAATTAATATTTAATCATCAGATTTTTAAATCTAAAATTTAGCAACTCCCAAACTGGCAAAAATAGTTTCTAAACCTAAAAAAAAAATTACGATTACGTTTCCATAAAAGCAAAGGAATGCTAACACCATTACTTAAAAAAAACCTAACCTATTAAGTAGGTGAAAGTCGTGTTATATCAGTTGTCAATGAATGTTAAACAACAAAAAACTTCTTGTGACAGGTGACAGGCGTATATAGGTTAACAACATAGCCCCAATAATTTACAAATGCAAATTCGTAGACATTTGCTTTAGTCGTATTGACTAGCGATAAAATATAAAATATGTAGTTAACCTATTTCACTTGTACACGAAAAAGCGCAATAACTTATTTTAACAACCCATCATGCAAATACAGGGTGTTGAAATCAAGAACATAGGAAAAATGTTAAAAAAAATTCTATCTATAAAATTTATTTTTTGTTTTTATTTCTGTTGGAAAAATAATTTTTTGCTGCTGACTACTGGAAGAGAAAACAACTGTATCCAAAATTGTAACTATGTTTACCGTTATTTTATAGCCTTTTTGTATCTTCACTGAATAATTATGAAAAAACATATATAAAATCATCAGTAACACTAGATAAACATAAAAAAAATGCCAAATCTCAAAAAATAAATGTCAAAATTTTTTGACAGAGAATTTTTTAAGCATTTTTTCCATATTCCTGGCATCTTATCTATTAGGATTTTTTCTCTTGGACACGAGTTCTGAAACAACCTGTATAATTGTAATATGTTGCATGGTTGCACAAACATTAAAAAACAGTTAATGATCAATTATGAAAAGATATTACTCAATTCTCTGGACTTACGTCTTCGTCGGGCATTTTAACATTCTCCGCCGGATGAAGAAAAGGAAAATTATTTGAAGAGAGCGGATCGATGGGTAACTGCGTTGGTATGGTATCAATCGGGCGGTTTGTTTGTGGGGGCGGCATCGGTGTCGATCGTAACGTGATTATTGTTCGATGCGGTGAGGTACTACGACTGTGGTTAGGTGACGTTGATTCGCTGACTAGGGGTGATACAGTAGGAGGCATCGGGAACGGCGGCGGTACCTAAAAATTTTATTTAAATAAATACTTGGACAAGGGGTAAAACAGCCTCACCTTTCCCAAATCCGGAGCTCCACACGCAAAGCCCGGAATGTTCCACGTGACGAAATCCTGATGCGGTTGATGTGATGGAACGTGTGGAAGACCCGGAGATTGTTGGTGAAGGGTGTCCTCACCGCACGGGATTGTTATTGAAGTTTTTACAGGAACTTCTTGAAAACTCTAAACAAAGCATTTTTAGCGTTAGTTAGATACTTTGTTTTGTCTACGATCACATGCATACACGACACAAGTTGTACCGTGCGATCAAATAAAAAATAAATTAGAGTAGGCGTTGATTAAATTCTACAGTTGGCAACACATTAGCTGGGAATCTGGGCTGGAAATTTTCCACACACACTGAAAGTGAAAATGACCATCCACCGTTTTCCTCTTGTACAGCAATAAAAATTTTCTGCTCTAAAGTAAACATTATTTGACTCAAAAGGAATAAAACGCAAACTTGTCAAAGTTTCCGCTGACATTTGATGTCAAAAATCAGGATTGCCATCTGAAGGACTTTAATCACCGCCAACTCTAATTTAATTTTCTTTTTGATCGCACGGTACTTCGATGTCCTTTTTATATCCACCCATTTTTTCTAGTTCATAAACTGTGTCCCAAGTAAAACTTTCCCATTTATTATTTTATAAAAGACAAAATTAAAATGGAAAAAATTGGTGTTATACTTTTTATTGAATCCTCTATGTTAAAAATGAATTTTATCTACACTTTTCTTCATGTTAAAAAAATACATCCATTGTTGTATATCTGCGGTTGTTAGTTGCTAACGATCTTTGACATTAGATTTCATTGATGAATTTTACTTTGACTTTTATAAATACCGACCAAATTGACTACAAAATTAGGATTGAATAAAATTTTATATTGTACACGACGATAAAATTTTCATTATCTTTTCGAGCATATTAGCATCTCAGCTGACGCCTCGACGATAAATTGCTCTCAAAGATAAAATTCAATATTATCGTCTTGTATAATAAATAACTATTGTAGAAAAACCGATTAATTTTTGAAATTTGTAATTTTCTGTAAAGTATTTGCAACTTTTGTTTATTAATAAGAAAGATATTAACTGGAAAAGTTTTAGTTGGAACAGCCTGCAATTACATGCTGTCAAAAAACTAATGAATTAAATATTTAAAAAGTCTTCTTAAATACAATGTTTAAAAACAAATTAATACGATAAAATTAAGATTTAGATTTTATTATTTTATTTTTACGTTATCGTTCACTAATTTATTAATTGATTACTTTGCATGACGTAAAAAATGTTTTTTTAACAACAATTTTGCATCGTCATTTTTTTTAAGACAGATCAAGAATCAAAGAAAAACAACATTGAAATAAGGGAAAATTTTTCTTCTTCCGGCTTTGAATTATTTAGTTCTTTGAACTATTATTAAGCAATATCCCAACTTGTCATTACGCACTTTCAATTATTTTTTCTTATAACCTCTATTTAATTTAAAAATTTCCATTAAAGATAATATTTATGAATGATAGTCTAAAGTACATAACATTATGTGTATCAATTTTTGTTAAGAATAGTGACAAGAGAATTAACAAACAATAAAACCAAAACAAAAAGAGTTGTTTTTTTTTAATTTTATTGTATAATCGTGATGAAGAAAATAATAAAAAATACACCAACTTAGTAGTAGGTACGTTGTTGAGGTTGCAAGAAAAATATTAACAAAATTCTTGAGGGTATATTTTACTAAATCTGAAACTACAAATTTATTTTGTTAAGTTCTTCATTCACATTATTATTGTCTTAAATTTTCACATTTTACTTTAAATAACTGTTTTTTCATCTCCTTTCAGTTTATAGCAGTATTTGACTTTTTAAATATTATTTATTCAGTAAAAAATACCATTTGAAGATATGACAACACTGTGTATTAATTTTAGCTGTCATCATGATGATAATGTTTATTCCCTAGGAAACTGTTACTAAAGTTTCAAGAATAATTTATTTTTATTGTTGATAAATTGCAATGCCATTAGACAACGTTGCTACTTGCAATACTTTTTTGAATTCTTATTTTTCTTCTTCTTCTTCTTCTTCATCTTCATTGAATTCTTATTTAATTATTTTTATTCATTCTACCACCACTTTTCATTGATTTCCAATGATTGAGCGCTCTATAGACGCAAAACATTACATTTTTAAGTTTCTTGTTAAAATTACATATTGTGAAAGCTAGCTAGCCCTCTTATCGAAAAAGGGGGTTCCCACCATATTTTAGATAAATAGATAAGCCAGTATTTGTTTTAGATAACACTACTAACTGCCCAACTGGATACAACGACATTGCAAAGTGTTAAAAAATAAATAAAAAAAAAGAGTACATAATTGAACACCAAGTGAGGAATAATCGATCCTAATTAACGTTTCTTCTTCGAAAAGTATTTAAATAAAAACAACAATGTAACAAAACATTGCTAATGAATATTAATCAATTCTGTGGTAAAAAGCAATTTTCTTAGAATAATATAAAATATTAGCAATTAATGTTAACTGATCATTAAAAAAAAATTATATATTCAAATACAACAAATTATTTCAGGTATGTAATAAAAACGATAATATCTGAAATAAAGCATCAATTGCCTAAATAAAAATACTTAGAAGAAAGATTAAGATAATCTAATAATCACGTACTAATTGATAAGTTGTATCACACATAAACACACTGAACATTAAAATAACACAAAAAATTTTGTTAATTTTTTTAATAACCTATATTTTCCCCAAGTGGCAATTTTTAACTTATTTTACTTTCTCCCCAATTTGTTATTAATTGAAATAGTTGTAAGTAGAAGAAAAGAAAAACATTTAACAGCAGGAGACTGTTTATTTGGGTCACCTCATCTCCCGCTAGTAAATAGTGGTATATTCAATTCAAACACCTGTGCTATAATGAAAATAATTCATGTAACCAGTTTGTAGAAAACAAGAGCTGATTGAACAAAGTTGACCTTATGACAGGTAAAAACTGCTCAAGTTTTACCAACAATTTTCTTTGTAGCTCAGAAAATATGAAATAAAATTTGAACAGTGATGTAAAAAAGACGATAACCTTTTAGATTTTTTTCTTGATAAATATCACTTGACGCAGCAAGTTTGTTCAACGCCCAGTAAGATTTTTAAAGAATTGTGTCTCACCATTTTTGCTGTGGGGTATCCAAATCCGGGCGGATATCCATAACTGCTAGGTTTAGGCGAAATCCTCTTTTTACTTTCCCTAAGTTCTACAAGTAGACTGAGTATTTGGTTAAAATGTAACTTTTGTTCGAAAGTAAAAGCAGGATGGTGCAAAGCCATAATAAACAACAACAAAAATTCACTCTGAACAATTTCATCCTTAAGATTCCCCTTCACTATACAATCCTCGAGCCAGTCTGTCCTTAGAACATTCCTGTACAGCCAATTAGCAACACTATAGTTCCTTGATGAGAGCAAAGACAAGTAAATTAACACTTTATGCCTGACGTTTTCGTCGAGGAGACTTTGCGTGAATGAGGTATCCTTGGACAGTCTATCTAGATCGTTGGCATTTATGGCTGGTCCGCGTAGTTCCTGGTACGTGTGTTTGCCCAGTTCCTCGATGCAACTTCCCAAGAAACGGAGTTCAAAAGGGACGCACATATTCAACAGTTCGTAAAGTACGTCTATTCTCTTGTAACCCTCCAAGTCCTTAAACCATGATAAAACATCCTCTTTACACACCATCTCCAGAAACCATTGATGTTACAAAGCACAGTTCTGAAAGGGCCCAGTTAAGAAAGAAGTGTGACATAACCTATACACCGCCCTTACAGCCAACGCATCCAAGACCATAGCAGAGCCTATCGCACTAAAAGGGCAACACTTCCATCCGGCCGAGCACTCGTTACCACCAATGGGTCCTTCTGGGGGGCAAACGGGCCAAAATGCCCATTGACAGCACCTCCACTGGTCACAGCAACACTTGATAACGATAGGCAGGAATTGCAGGTGGAATGTGGGCTTCTTCACCTAACTAACCAGAAAATAGCACCTAACCATTCAACAAAACAATTCTGACATTCGGGAATCACACTGCAGAATGCAGCTTTTGTCCGCTCCGTCCCCACTTTTTCACAAAATGACTGCAATTCGGGATTATTTAACACTTTTTACCCGATTTTACCCCGACTGTTTTATTTTCAGATAAAAATCGCACGATTTGCGGGATAGTAGCGTTGCCACATTTCCAAAAATGTGTCAAATTTTATTGTTGCAAATTTTGTGCTTTAGCGACCGAACGAACAAACTTCAAAACATCCAGACGCGCCAAATTTGAAAAAGTAGGTGAACGATTTCAAACTCTTGGGTGGTTTGGGTGACCGTTAAAGCATAAAATGAAACATTAACCCGTGTTAATTCATGGTTCTAGAACTGATTCTAACCCTTTTTAATAACCACATGACACAGCACGTATTCGATAGTCGACTATAGTGAGTGGATCTGTTTACTTATTTACTTACCTCTGTACGTATGCAATCAATATAAATAAGGAAATACCTACTCTTAAAAATTAACAAAATTTGTAAACACAAGTAGCTAGTAGGTAAGTAACGATGTTTGGGTTTTCCTTCTCTAAGAACTTATCTTTATTTAAGAACTACCTACAGCAAAAAAGATAAGATGCAGCAAATTTGATATCACACAATTTATGTTGACCAAATAAGGTAAATACACAATATAATTTGCATAAAGTATAGTAGTTAATGTTATACATTCATAATAATTAGAATTACTTTTTATTTAAAAGTATTAATTCATTCTAAAACTAGGTGTTCATTGAAAGAAAAATTTCCAAATCGTTGTAATATCAGTATGATGACCTACTCGTATCAATCGATCAATCGTCTAAAACTAACTTGAAATACTCAAAGCATCTATTTACATTAAAAGAGTACCTAGGTAATACCTAAAAATAAGCAATCATTTACACTACTTTACAGTGAAACGAGTAACAGTATTTCATTCCTGTGTAACATATAAGATTTTTTAAGCATATTTAACAGTTAATTAGCCAACGATTCTGATAATTAATATTTTTAAGAAATATATTTGAGACGTAATACAGTCATAAAATTTAAAAAAATAATAATTAAAATATGTGTTTTACATAGCTTCCGCTGGGATTTCTACTTATAAGTAAGTAACAATAGTATCAGAGCTTTGTACTGTACTGACCTATTTTTCAAAATATTATTTAACATTATTAGAACATAAAAAATATAGAATATAGGATATACCTATACTAACAATATGAAATGCAAAATACTGACATGAAAAACGAAAAATATTTTTTTAATTCACATACTTATTTATTGTTTTCTATTTTTTTTCTGTAAAAAATTGCTGTTAGAGTCCCTTCATTCACACATTCATGCAATACATTTTTTAATAAAAATCTATGAGTCAAATTAATATTTTATTTGGTTACTGTCTATTTTCCTTAAATCGGGACAAATCAGAACATAAACGTAATTAAACACGACAAGATAATAAAAACCTAAACATGTCCTGGCTAAATTAGGACGGTTAGCTACCTCATTTACAACCACAAAATTCAGTCGAATGTACAGGGTGCTGCATTTTGGATGTCGGAATAGGGAATCTCCGAAACTAAAAGGTTTAGCCAAAAACGAGTAATACATTCTGGGGCTCACATTTTGAGAAAATAATACTGATTGAAACCGTATCTCGCTATCGTCTTTTGTTTTCGACTTACAGACAGAAGATGACATTTTGGCGAAATCTAAAAAAATTCATATCTTCGTTATTATACAAGATACGTATTTGAAATAAAGACATTATACAGGCACTTTTTTATGAGGAATTTAATAATGTAGAGAATTATTTTTTTCAGTCATTTGTTGCCGTAATAAGATAAACTTGTATTTTTTTTAATGGAAGGCATAGGCGGCTAAGGCAATTTTGAAAAGCTTTTTTGCTTTTTTCTGATCTAAAAAATATACAGGCTGTTCCGTCTAAACCCCACTTTAGAAGTATTGGGAGTTGGAATAATTGTATTTATTTGAAAATTGGTACATAGCCATAAACCATTAAATCCTCCTAAATGAAAATATTTTCAAGATGGCGGCACTTCCGGTTATACCGGAAGTCGGTCTCAACTTTCTTATTTTAAATGGAAAGGTATATTTTTTACTGCGTTTTTGGATTAATCGGGTTATTTTAAGAGAGTTTTCATCAGCTTTCCCTATACCTAAATTTAGCCGTTTTTGAAATATTTGGAGTTTTTCAAAAATTTTTGGATTTGCACCTTCCACTTTAAAAACCGGTAACTCTGCCATTTTTTTAGATTTTAAATTCCTTTTTTTGGCGTTTGAAAGAGAAAGCTTAGATCTTTTTCCTGGTGTTTTTAAATTTTGAAAAAAAAAAAAATTACATATCTCAAAATTTTAAGGTTACTTTTGTAATAATTCAAATACTCATAACTCAATTTTTTCAAATGAAATACCCCAATTTTTATTTTACAAAATAGAAGAGAATTTAATTGTGCATTGATCTGTATTAACATTCCATATACCTAAATTTAATAATTTTCAAGTTATGGACTTTTTTTTAATACTACAGAAAATTTATTACTAGCCATACCCGTTTTCGCATAGTTTGCTATGGAAATCAAAAATGTCAAAATTGTTTCTCAGTAAACGTCGACAGTGACTTATTATTTGCCAAATAGTGCCAAAATATAGAGAATCAAAGTTATGCAAACTTAATTATAATTGATAGGTTCTACCATGCAATCATTATTTAAAGCTAGCAAGTGAGAAAAGTTTATTTTTGTTTAATGAACGATATCATAATTTTGTTACAGTTAGAGACAAAATACTTTGGTCGTCAATGTCACTTGACGTAAAGCATGCTTTAGAACCGTTAACCTTATTTTTAGCTATTGTCAATCATAGTTGACAAGTTGTATGTATATATTTTTGATAGGAAAATATAATAGCTGTCATTAATTTGAAATTGTCATTCATTTTAACGTTAAAGCTTGAATTACATTAAAGTGTCAGAAAAGTGACGACCAAAGTATTTTGTCTTCAACTGTACACTCTCCATAAATACAAAATAAATTAATTAAATCTAAGTTTGAGTAGCTTTGACTCTCCATATTTTGGCACTATTTATCAAATAATAAGTCACTGTCGACATTTATTGAGAAACAATTTTGACATTTTTATTTCCATAGCAAACTATACGAAAACGAATGTGGCTAATAACAGATTTTCGGCAGTCTGAACAAAAAGTCACCATAACTTAAAAATTATTAAATTTAGGTATAGGGAATGTTAATACAGATCGATACAGTATTAAATTCTCCCCCTTTTTGTATAATGAAAATAGGGGTATTTCATTTGAAAAAATTGAGTTATGGGTATTTGAATTATTACAAAAGTAACCTTATAATTTGATGGTTTGTTAATTTTTTTTCAAAATTTTAAAACACCAAAAGAAAGATCTAAACTTTCTCTTTCAAACGCCAAAAAAACGAATTCAAAATTTTAAAAAATAGCAGAGTTACCGGTTTTTAAAGTGGAAGGTGCAAATCCAAAAATTTTTGAAAAAGTCCAAATATTTCAAAAACGGCTAAATTTAGGTATAGGGAAAGCTGATGAAAATTCCCTTAAAATAACCCAATTAATCCAAAAACGCTGTAAAAAATATACCTTTCCATTTAAAATAAGAATGTTGAGACCGACTTCCGGAATAAGCGGAAGTGCCGCCATCTTGAAAATATTTTCATTTAGGAGGACTTAATGGTTTATGGCTATGTACCAATTTTCAAATAAATACGATTATTGCAACTCCCAATACTTCTAAAGTGGGATTTAGACGGAACAACCTGTATATATTTGTAACAGAATACTATGATACATTTTTAGCAAAAAATTATCTTTGATTTTTGTTCGCAGTTGACCATGAAAAAATTTTGCATCTTCAACTAAAAGGATTTAAACTATATTATTCCACCAGTATCACTAATGAAAGAGTTTTCTAAGTACTAATTAATGAAAAAAATGCAAAATAAATCGTAAATCAACTTATTGGCGACTAATAACATTTCTTTGTTTTTAAACAAGCTAACATTACCATTGTAACTTCTAGAGATACATAGAGTGTTGTAAAAAAAAGCCGCTTTAATTCTTCAATAAAATATATTTTATATTCAAATACCCAAATTCCGTCTATGTAGAACGTTATCCTATACTTCCATTAGATCACCAAAAAAATGTTTTTTTCTAATTGTGTTGACTATTGACACATTTTTTTTTTTTTAAATGTGATAATTTTGTTCTGAGGCGCTCGCATATTTGTTCAATACTTCTAACATATTGTGTTTTTTATATTTTTATAATTTAATCTATTTTTTCATCTATTTTACAGTTCACAAAACTCTTATTGATTATCATTTACACAGTGAAATAGTTTTTCCATGGCCAACTATTATACAGGGTGCGCCAGAACTCGCGCCCCAGAGAAAATTTTCAAGTAAGGTAAGGTACCAGGAACATGAAAAAAATGTTTAAAAAACTCTATCTGTCAAAGAAATTTGACATTTATTTTTTGACATTTGACATTTTTTATATCTATTTAAGAATACGGATGATCTTGTATATGTTTTTTTTACAATTATTTAGTAAAGGGACAAAAATTTTGCCCATAAAAGCCACAAATAACATTAAACAGAGTTACAATTCAAGATATAGCTTCCTTGTTTCTTCTTTTAATAGCCTGTAGCAAAAAGACTTGGAAAATTATTTTTCCAACAGAAATAAATAGAGTCAAAGTGCAAACCTTAAACCCTCATAACTTCGAAATTTTTATAGAATAATTTTTTTTAACATTTTTTCCATGTTCCTGGTATCTTACCTTATATGGCATTTTTCTCTGGGGCGCGAGTTCTGGCGCATCCTGTATGTATTTCATTTTTTAAGTATAATTATAAAAAATATTCTGTTACAAATATATACCGGCTGTCCCAGGCAGGTTTGGATATAGGAAATTAACATAGGAAATTAGATTTTATTTTTTCCGGCTGCAGGGGTAACAGAAAGTAAAATCTGATTAATGGAGCTTGTAGTGTTTGAAAAGGGCTGTCTTATCGATATATTTGTCGATTTTTCGGTATTTTAGATAAGAAAAAAGTAAGCTTTTCAAAATTGGCATAGCCGCCTATGATTTCCATTTAAAAAAATACAAGTTTTTCTTATCACGGCTAAACCAATAACTGACAAAAAATGTTAACTACATTATTAAATTCCTCGTTAAAAAGTGCCTCGATAATGTCTTTATTTCAAATCCGTATCTTCTATAATAACAAAGATATGACTTTTTTTAGATTTCGCTAAAATGTCAATTTTTGTCTATATGTCGAAAACAAAAGACGATAGCGGGATGCAGTTTTAACCAATATTATTTTCTCAAAAAATGAGCCCCAGAATGTATTACTCGTTTTTGGCTAAAACTTTCAGTTTCGGAGATGTTAAAATTATTAATAAACGATTAACAAACGACTTATGAAATTGTAACAAAAGTTTTTTTAAATGATTTTCTGTTTATAAACAAATGTAATGAACTATTCATTATAAATTAGTGATACATAAGCATGAAAAAAAAAATCAACAGTGACCACTTACTTATTAACCTTTTGTGAAATAAAAGATGCCAATATAAAAAGTCCCGAATCTACGATTACAAAACATTTTCGATTTTCTTAAAATTAAATTGGGTTTCAAAATCGTGTTTAGTACCCCAAACAACAAAATATGCTCCCTTTCGTCTAAATTTTGAAGTATGTGCAAATATTTTAACGGGTGATAGTAAAGCTCATAAGAAGTCAAAATAAGAACTTGCTCCATCCGAATGTTTATAGTTTCTGCGATATAGAGGGTACCACTTCCACTTTATTGGCGTCGAAAAAGTTGTCAAAAAAACACAAACTTTAAAATTATCCAGTATTTTAACGAAAGCAAAAAATAAAAATGCACAATCTTTTGAATAAAAAAAAATCTATTGTCTATTTCTTGAAAGTTGACACATGAAATGATTCGAAGCTAAATAAACAAAGACAGTGGTGTTAATACACAAATTTATTTAACTATAGAATACAGTCGAAAGCAAAATTGCAAAAATAAACGCCACAACTCCTATCTAAGGAAACCCATCATCATCCTCCTCCGCCATTTCCTTCGCAAGTTCCAAATCCTGCTGTTCCCTCTCTCTACGTTCCTCAGCCGATTCGAGTTCCTTTCCATAGGCTTTGGGCGGATACCTCATTGCTTTCACACTCTGATTATGAAGATCCAAACAGAAGGAAATCCGCTGATGGAAAGCCATTTGCGGCTCCTTCGTGCAATAAATATCAGTGCTCTCCTTGCTCCTCATATAGCCCCCTTCAGGGTCCAAAGTCGCTTCAATAACCCCATCTCTGATCGCTTTCGCTACTATAAACTCGGCATCTTCAGCCGAATCCAAGCCCAGTTTTTTCGCGATATCTTGCGGCGAAATCCTCGAATACGACAAACCGATTGCACGAATCGCCGTTTTGATTACGTTATGTCGCAGACGAAGAATTAGAGTGAATGTGTGATCCTGACGGAATTGCGGTCCAAAGTTTTCCAAAACTTCCCCAAACCGGTGCAAATTGCCCATACGAACGGCTTGTGTTAGTTGGAAATAGGGGGCTAAAGAGTGTCTCATGCTGGCCTGACGGAAAATCTGCCGTTCCGGGATGTCTCCTAGAAGCAACTCGACCACAACTAGCAGTTTCTGGACGGTCTGTCGGAATCCAACGGCCGTGTTTTGTGGGGATTTCCTCATAGCTTGCACTAGATGTTTATGGGCCACGCTGTATTCTAACCGGGCTGCCTTAATCCGCCCCAAATAGTACAAAAATCGGGCCCATTCGTTGTTACTGGCAGTTTCAGGAAAAACGCATTTGCTAACTAACTTATCAGACTGGTCGTAAAGTGAGTAATGTAGGTAGTTCCTCAGCAAGCAATTAATCAAGACAGCTTGTCCCTCGAAATCGTTTCTTAAGGTGGCTGTTCTCAAACGTGCATGCAAGAAGGCTCTAATCGAGTCCAACTTTCCAGTCAATTCGGCCACTCTTGAGTGATAAAAATAGCATTTGGCTGCGATGAGATCTAAGCTTCGCCGATTCTGAACCGTGATTTTGTTCATCAAAGCTTGGGAGCACCTTACCCCATCGTTGAGCTTACTGGTGTCTATCAGATACACCAGAATGAGGAGATGGATATAAGCGTCCACTTCGGGCACTGGGGTCTTTGTAGCAGACCTTGCACGTCCCGTCTCCAGTTCCAGCCCAGCGGGGACGTCCTCCAAGTACTCAGTCAAGGCGTCACGTTCTGAGACTGGATAAATCTGATTGACTAAACCTTTAAGTACAGCACCGTTGAGTTTTCGACGGGTGTTGGGTAAGCACCTCAGGACACGCAAAATGAAACGGTTTTCTTTGTTGGTGACTGCTTTTTCGATTTGCCGGGCTTGCTCACGGATTTCCACCAAATTTTGAAAATCAATAGTTCGCTTACTGTCGCCGGCTTCCATACCAGGGGGGCTGTCGGCATTCTTCATTTCGACGTCGGTTATGTCGGAGGGAGCCATCGTACTAGTCATTTTTCATTAATAACACTTTTGTTCTGGGGACCACTGTCAAATTTGCTTTTGCTTCGTAACGCACCCGAGACGCAAACCGCTGTCAAATGTCACTTTTATGTCACAAAAAACACTAAATTTTAATACAATATGTTTAAATAATACACGATAACGTATATTTTGACTACTATAATAAAAATAAATAATTTAAACTGCACGACTAATTAAATTTCATACAATGTGTAAAATTTGACTCATTGCAGATTCCTGTATGTCCAAAAGTGACTTTGACAGTGACACTGACACCTCTTTGACGTGTGTAAACAAAGTTTGAGGTTATTAACACAGTTGAAAACGTTGCAAGCTAAATTCTTTAGATAAATGTAGTTTCATAATATATGCAAAATGGTGCAACTGTAGTTATCTCAGCAACTTTTTAATTTATTAATTTTTATTGAGTGACAATGGATCGGGGGAAGTACGTTTTTTTTGTACAAAAATGATCGAAAAACTTATTGTTTCTTCAAGGTTTTCGTTATTATTATTGGATCCTGGTGAAATATACTTTGAAGACTTTAGTGCAGTCTTGATTCCTCCAGACATAACTCCAAAAACGTTCGATATAAAGAAACAGGATGGCAGGTTGAAAATGTGTTCAAAATCTTTAGTTTTTGACCCAAAAGATATCTACAAACCAATTATTAAAATACCGTTAAAAGATTGTGTTGTGATTGAGCAATGGAAGGGTCATGCTAAATATTTAACAAATAATAACGTACTAATTGTGAACTGTCGAGAATATATAGAAATGTTAGAAGGAAATATTGTTGCTCCTTACAAATTTCGTGAGGCCACTAATTTTTTGTTTCAATTAAATTACGCTAACATTATGAATTGTTTGCCTCAAATTTGTCAATTACATAGGGCCAGCACTTTACCGGCTGCTGAACAAGCTGACATGGTAAGTTTTTCCAGTTTTTTTTTTTTAAATCCCTTTCTACTAATTGTCTATAGATTGCAACTATTGTTCATTCACGACATGCACGAGTTAGTTTTGATCCCTTGTGGTTAGATTTATATGAGAAGGTTGTTTTGGAGACTGAAGCAGATAAAGTTACACCACTTGTTGTAAACCCTGGTAGACTTTTATTATCAACCTCACGATTATTTTTCCAACCCTACAATAATGTAGAAAGTGTGAGTAATCACATTGTGGTTTTACCAATGATTAATTTTGCATTTTATCTAGGTTCCAGTCATTAAAATTGAACTTAACAGCATCAAGAGGATGGTCAAACGGCGGTTTTTGTTGAGGCATATAGTAAGTGTCGAATTTTCGTAAAAATATAAAAGGATTTAATATTTATTTTTGCTGAAAAACTTATTTTAGGGCTTGGAAATATACTGTAGTGAAAATAGTAGTAATCCTCACATTTATCTATCATTCCGAAGTCAAGAAAAACGCGACCATTTATACGAAAATTTATTAAACCAACCGGTCCTAAAATTGGAGGAATTAGACCAAGACATGATGACCCTCCAGTGGCAAAATGGTATTATATCAAATTATGATTATCTCCAATACATCAATAGGTATCTTTCGTCAAACATTTCGAAGCTGGTGACTAGGTTTTTACAGCTTAGGTGACCGTACAATAAACGATTTGACCCAATATCCCATCTTCCCTTGGATTGTTTCAAATTACACCGATCCCGAATTGGATTTCAAAGACCCTAGAAATTACAGAGATTTGAGCAAACCAGTAGGTGCATTGGACGAAGTGCGCTTGTTGCGACTTCTTGAACGATATGAAGAAATGTCGCATCCCAAATTCATGTATGGGTCGCACTATTCGACTCCTGGTTTCGTCTTGTTTTATTTAGCGAGACTTTACCCTCGTTACGTTTTGTGTCTACAAAGTGGGCGTTTCGACCATCCGGACCGAATGTTCAATTCAGTGGCAGATGTTTACAAAAATTGTCAAACCAACATGTCTGACTTTAAAGAATTAATACCGGAATTTTACGACGTGACCCAAGAAGGAAATTTTCTTGTTAATAATCTGGGAATCAATTTTGGGTATCGACATAATGGACTTAAGGTTGGGGATGTGGAATTGCCTTCTTGGGCGGACAGCCCCAAAGACTTTATTCGGAAGTTGAGAGACGCCTTAGAAAGTGATATCGTGTCGCAGGGGCTTCACCAATGGATAGATCTGATTTTTGGGTACAAACAACAAGGAGAGGAAGCGGTGAAGGCCAATAATTGTATGTCACATGTTTTTTGTTTGTGTTTAAAATGAAATATTTTTTCTTAGTATTTTATCATTTGTGTTATGAAGGAAATGTCGATTTGGGTAATATACAAGATTTGAATCAACGACATGCCTTGGAAGTGCAAATCATGGAGTTTGGGCAAATACCGAAGCAAGTGTTCAAAGTGCCGCATCCTGCGAGGAAAATAGGGCTTCCATTATTGACTGAACCGCATCAAATTAGTTTAACGGAAACCGAAGGTTGGTAGCACTTTTTGTACAAATAATGTCTCCAAAATCTTGGTTATTATGATTAAAAAATTAAAAAAATATATGACTTAAGTTGAATCGAAAATATCAGCAACTTGGAAGTACTTGGCAATTTCGATAAGCGGAAGTGAATGGCTGGTCCCGAGCATTTACTTATAGAAATCAATGTCATTTTTCCTCGATATGTCGAACCTCTTCTTGAATTGATTGAACAGATTGCCTCCATAAGTCGAATTTTTGTTTTGAAATTTCCACAATTTTACGTAATGCGTATTGGACAAATTTCTGTAGTATCCATGTGTTTTCCGTCTGTTTTCGCAAAATTTAAGGGATGTGAAAGATTTTTTTTTTAAAGGAAAAATGTATCACAGAGTCTACATTAAAAGACTTTTCTGTCATCCTGAAATGAGTAAAATCTGTATCTCATACATGTTATTCAATTTTAAATTTTTCTTGTACCATTTGTAACATTTTTTGCTTAAACTATTTATTTTTTGAAAAAACTAATTGATGAGTGATAAAGTACTATAAAAATGTGATGATTTAACAAGAATAAAATTTTTCGAAATTTACTTTTGTTTTTGAGTTCTACAAAAAAAAAAATTACATGGCAACCCACTATAAAATCAGTTTTCTCATAAAAGCTATACTCTAAGGATTACAATTATCTACTTTATACTATTTAATTTTTTGAAAAAAATTTTTACACATTGCAATTTTGACAAAAAAAATCGCATAACTTAAAAACAAAACAAAATTTCGTTCTGAAAATACGATCACATTTTTTATATTATGTACTTTAATTTATATTAATTATTATTTGCTGGAGGCTTGGTTCCATACTTTATATTCACCATGTATATTTTATGCCATTATAAGTTAATTTTTATATACATTTTATAATTTTCAAATAAAATAATATACA